AAGCCACTATAATTAGATTTGGGAGGGGGGAGGAAGGAGAAGACGGAACAGGCTGATGTGTTGAGGTTCTGAAAAATTATCAAACAAGATGTGCCTTGTGTTAATGTTGAATGATACATCAAGCAAACTGAGTATCATAGAACCATAACTGCTTATAACACTCAGCTGTGAGGATGGTGTACTGACTTAATTGAGGTCAAGAATTAATTGCATGTCTTTCAGATAACACTTCCAAATGGCAGCATCTGTCTAAAGTGAAGACATTAATTCAAACCTTTTAGGCCAAACCTTTACAGAGAAGCAGAAAGTCCCAGTCAGAGGAAGAATGTGAAAAAGTAAGTAAAATGTTATCTTGTCATAAAATGTGTCCTGATTGGCAAACTCTAAGTATGGATCAAAGCAGTAATATGCTGGAGAAAGAGCTAGATACAGCAGAGCGTAGGCTTGAGTATTTAACCTACTATTTAATGTTCTCTTCTCTGTGCTTGTGTATTCCAAGGAATTTGCCTCCCAAACCCAGCTTTGCCTCTTTTCCAATATTAATACTTTGTGATGACTGACTTAGATTCTTAGCAAGCCAAACCTACCAAAGATGAACACAAAAATAAACAGCAGTTGAAGAACAAATTATGTTGCATTTGTGACAGCTTGTTAGTAAGGGTTCTCAAGCTTGACTGGTGAAGAAACAGGACATACCACGGGGTGGTACTTGAATTCCAGGCTATCCTGGTGCCTGAGATTACCAGCTGACAACCTAGCAGGGAGCAGCCCTGGGCAGGGCACTGTCTCAGACATGAGCATCTCCAGGAGTATCTACCATGCCCAGTGATAAACTTTCTTTTCCTAAAGGCAGGGAAGAATTGGAAGCAGAGACTTGACACCTTCTAGTTCCACACCAGCTACTGCTGTCTCAAGTTGGGCTGGAGGCCAGTAATTTGGAGTATGTAAATTACATTGCACATTCCAGTCCCTACAACACACAGTCTTATTGTGGTAACTTCTACCTCCAAGTACAGGTAGTATAGGAGTTGTTACATTCTTTACATATTGATCATCTCTCCCCTAAGGATGTGGCACACCTTAAAAAACAAGCAAACACCCCTAGCCAACCAACCCCAAATCTAAACCAACATCAGTTGTTAGATGAGTGCACAAAAACATTCCCTGGGCTATCCTAGACGGCAGCAGCAGCATCTAGGACTACAAGCAAACATAAATTACACATGTCCAAATCTACAGTAGAAAGGCTCACATTCCAGGTGAGGAATCTCTGCCATTCCCTATGCTGCCAGACACCATCATACTTGCTCCTGGCCATTTAAGTTTTCCCTGTGAAAGGTGAGCTAGGAAGGGAGCAGCCCTGACACGTGGTCAGGCAGAGACTGCCACTGACTGCAAGACAGCCAGGGTGATCTGTGCTGCTGCCCCAGCACGCACATGGACAGCATTGCCCAGCTCATTCTGCTCCTCCTCCTCTCTGACAGAAACTCACAAGCATCACAACTTCTGCAAAGATAACTTCAGGGAGTTACAGAAAGAATCACTGGGCACATTTGGAAGGAGTGGGTGCAAGCACTGTTGTGCAGGATGACCTGTTAGAAGCTGTGGATTTTGTCTTGAGGAGATGGATGAAAAAGTGCAAGCTAGCAGCTGAATGAAGAAGACACAACTGAGCAGAATCCACTTGTGAATTTGCAGAATCGAGGCAATAGATTGTAGGGAAAAAAGCTGACTAAGATTGCTCAAGTAAATACACTATATAATACACTCTGAAAAAGGCTTAACCATTACAGAAAAGTCAAGAGGATTTGCAAATCACTACTTGTAACCAACACACTCAGGAGCAGTCATTCTTCACCAGTATTTGCCAGAGGCCTTACAAAACACCACTACTTGACTTTATGGTCAAAACAAAAAGATAAAAACATTGACTTGCAACTTTAGTCTTGCAATGCTGCAGCTCAGAGAGCAGCAGCAGCCAAAACCCTATAGTCTCTAGTCACCATCTTTAAAAACAGATGAAAAATGAAATATCCTTACAAAATAAATGGATTAACATTCTGTTCCAGTAGAAAAGCAATGAGTGTCACAGAAAAACTCTCTGTACCCTTGTTCACAGAAGCTCTTCACCCTGTGAGCTGTGTTGCTGAGATCCTACCCAGTCTGTAACAGCTGATCGAGTTCACATCGAATTTCAGCTGAACTGTTATAAAAATCCTGCAGGGTTTCCACAAAAGGTCATCACAATGTATGCAAATGTATGATGAAAGGATATAAACGAACATACAAAATAAACAATATGAATTCCTGGTTAAAAATAGTTCAGCTGAACCTAGGTATTATATAAACACCAAAGATGACTTTTTATAATCTGATCATGCTAGTCAGTGACTTCATTATGCAGGGAAACATGAGCTGGAATACTCAGATTTTTCAGTGCATTCTACAGTTTCACGTACAGAGCCATTTACATGCATTCAGTTCCAGGCAAAGTCCACTGCTAAGTACATCTGCAAACAGAGCTCAACAGGGCTGCCTACATAAACACAAAAACTGAATTTTGAATCTGTGATTCAATGCATGTGAAATTATAGCTATTTCTACCAGCTAGATTAAGAAGAATGCTCATGGACAAGGTTCTCCTTTTAGCAATTCAGAAGCACTAATTCTGTTACAATAGACCTAATCATCAAGAACATTTAAATTAGTCTTTACTCAGTAGAGCTTCATAACTTAACATGTGCTATTTGAGGGCATTTATTAAGTGCAATGTTAGTATTTCCCCCTCCTCAAAACTCAAATACCTCTTGATCTTTTTCAGATTCTCTTTTAGAATTCATCTTTAATCTTTGCTGTTACAGAAGTGTAAGTTTGTCCAGTTTCTCTTATCTTCCACCCTCCTTCAAAGTAACAGTTGCTTACACATGCACAAATACTTTAAAGGCTTATATTCCTGAAGCTACAAAGCTTTCATGCATCTCCAAAATACTTTAGTAAGTGGAATGTCCATGCAACTGCAGCTCCTTCTACTCCTAGGTAGCCAAAATGATTAAAGAAACTAATTAAATAATTAATTACAAGTAGCATTCTTTGTAATGACTGGATTCTTTTGCCATTGCCTGGATAACACAGATAAATATTTTACTGTATCAGGTTGTATGTCTTGCCAGGCTTGTAATTGAAGTGGCCTGGTAGTTTAATATTTTAGAGAGGCACAAATGAGTCATGGTCTCAACTGCCTGCGCTGAGCATGAATTATGCACCTCATTTTAACAGCAGTTCAACACAGAACTATGGCAGACATCCTGTGCCCTGTGTCAAACCTACTACAGTGTTACAGAGATTTGTCCTACATTAAAGGAAACTTTTGTCTACATTCTGTTTAGAAATTCAATTCCTGTGAATGGCTTGTGAATCCATGTAGACTGTTGAGTAATCAAATCACTGGTGAACAAATTATATCTCAGGCAGCACAGCTGTAGATTGCTGCTCTCTTGCTGGACAAAGTCCTTTCCACCTCTGTCCTTCAGCTGTCAGCTTCTCATTATCAACGCCACAGCTAGAACTAAGAACGGGTACAAATGAATCACTGCTCAAACAGCTGAGCTGCTGTGACTAACCCAGGCTCCACAGCCTCTTTACACTGGTCAAAGTCTTCCTGAAGGAAAGATAAAGGACAAAATGAGTTATGTTTTTATACACATGTGATCTCAGTATTTCTACACTGTACTAAGTAAATAACATTATTACTTGTAATAATTTCTGTGAGCACAACCAGAGGATGCTGGTGTTTTTTATCTCTTCCAAAGGTTGCAGATGAGGAAATAAAACAGGTGATAATTACAGTGATAGATTTTTAAATTGCTAATTTGCCATCAACTTTTGTCAACCGCAAGTCACACAAGTGCAGCCCAAGTCCCACCCACAGGATGGAGTGGCAGCCACTTGGCTTCTAAAGCTATTAAGTTCCTGTGCTGATAATCCTTTACTCCTTGAATGGCAAAATGTCAGGCACAGCCCAGCAAGGCTGGGCATTTCAAGGTCAAACCAAAACTAATTGAATTGCCTAAGAGTGCTGTTGGACGGACAGATTTATTTTTTATTATTTTTTTTTCTCAGAACGACAGATTTTACTGAACATTTGGCTCTTTTTAAACTTATGTTTTTAAGCCACACTTCCTGGAGTCATATACTAAAAATAAAAATGAGGAATGAGATTAGGCTAAACATGATTTATGGCTATCATGATTGTAGAGAAGTTGAAAGTAAAAGCGCAAGAGATTAAAAGTGGCATTTTTCAAATTTATTCAGATTGCAGAATATTTAAGGTGACCAATGCCAACTTCTCCCTGGGCTGCCCTGGAGCTGCTGGAAGTGGTTGAAGATTTATAGCAGGAAGAGGATGTCAAGCTCCCAGCAGCTTCTCATAGCAGAGAATATTTCCATCTCTGCCAGGAGGAGATAAGTGGTCACATACAGGTGGGAACTCATGAATCAGAAAAACCACATCACAGGTAAACAGGGGCTGACTTGGCAGTGGATGTCCGAAACCAGCACAGCCTGTCAGTGCTGTTATTAGCCACGACTGGAAGGGCAGTGCCCAGAAAGCACAAAGAGCTGCAGAAAGGCACCTCTCAGGTGATTAGACAGGCATCACAGAGGGCTCTCCCATCTGTCTTCTCACAGCAAGAGCTCACAGTATTTGTACTACAGAGCAGGCTTCACTGAAAACAAATTTTAAGTTCCATATCCCTCTGGGTAAGCTGTTTTCTGGTGAGGTAGTGTTGACAAATATATTCAGTGAATCAACATTCCCATCTGCCATTTAGTACATTTACACCACTAAAGGGCAGACCTGAACATGAGTACCTGATCACCAAGTTTTTGTTTTTGTTAAAAAAAGGTTCAGTTAAAAAAAAAAAAAAAAAGATTGATTCATCAGCATGGAATTTAAAAATATTTTTTCTCAAAAGCATTAATTACATTTTAAGTTCTGCACTGGTTTTGTTATCTTGCCAAATTGAACTACTGGAAGCATTGCAACACAGTTAAGAGTCATGGGGATTGTGTCCTCCTTTTTCCTATACAAAAAAGAAAAAATACCCCTCCACAAAACAGAACAATATTTTGTATGACCATAGTGAATTCGTAAAAATCTGAACAGCAAAACAAAGAATTAGGTGTTTGGGAGTTGTTGTTATTGTTGTTATCTGGTTTTGTTTTGTTTTAAGCAGGAAAACCAACAGAATTGGGTGCTTTTTTTAAGGTCAGGCTGAAATACCAGAAATACAACTAAACATACAGCCTTCAAGCTGTTTGTTCTTCTGGTTCATCTTTATTGCCCCACTCCCCCAAAAATGAAAATCAGTGTATATTTTTGTTCTTGACCTAACTTACACATGCTAACAGAAGTACAAATCTCTCCAGTGGATCTATGATTTGGCTTGTACTACCCTGATGCAGTCAGGATTAATACTCTCAGAAATTCCTACCCAACTCACAAAGACTTGGTCAACACTAGAATTTAAAACCCTTTCAAAAGGAGGAACAAAGAAATCTCCTGCATCTCTCTCACATGGCACAGAAAGCTGCCAGGCAAACATTTTCCTCTGCAAGGGTGAAAATGCACATCAATTCATTATTGGTGACAGACAGAGATAAAGGAAATAAACTATTGGGGTTTGGACACTGGAGGGAGGATCTGCTCACTGCTTACATATATCAGCTTCACTGATGAGTAGCAATAATTAGCCTAATTAATTATGGTTGCTTTTGCTCCTGCCTTGTGGAATGTGGGAAAGACCTTCTGAAGAGGTCAGACATCTTTTGTCAATTATTACAACTCCTGAAATTTCCTCTATGTCTGAAGCGCGTGACCAGCTCTGAGAGGTCTCCGTCCACTTCACTCAATGATCTGGTTTGGACACTGTCATTTGCACAGCCCAATTTCTGCAAATATGTACCCAAGAAACCAGTGTCAGTGGATTTCAGGCTTAAGGATAAAAGCCTACCTTTAGCCAGAATTTTTAAGTGTTCATGCAGGAATATCACTGGTATAAACTGCAATACGTGAAATCGGACCTCTGCACACCTTGGGACTTTGTGAAACAAGGCAAGTCAGAAGCCATCATGTGAGCTGCTGCCCACATGCATTGCTGGCAAATCAGGACATACTCAAGTATGCCTCACCTGCTGCAGAGCAGAGAGTGACACTCACACAGGCTTGGCCCCAGCCACTGGTCCAAAGGACATTCCTTGCCTTCTGTCGCCTCACTCACTGGTGGGCGGTGACTCAGAGCAGCCGGGAGGCCGGGCAGCTGGCTGGGAGCTCCTGCAGTGCTCTCTGCCCTCTCCAGCTGCCCAAACCGAAAAGCCACAGTTGAGACACACATGAACACACAGTTTCCTCCAGACTCCTGATAAGTACAGAAGTACACTGCAGGTTCATGGTCAGCCAGTCCAGCAGTTCACTATTACTTCCAGGATACACCACACGTCTTCCCCAGCACCTTTCTGCTACTGACTGCATTCACCAAGTCACTCTACAGTCAGACAAGACAAACCAGCTGAAAAAACACTCAAGCCAAACAGAACTGTTTTAAGTGGATAAACTAATGATCTGATCCAAAGAGCAAAGCTGGAGTCAGGAATAAGCACAAGAGAGAGTCCCATTTCAGCACTAGCACCACACACCTAGAGGGTGTCAAGTGAAGCCTGAAACTGTACCCTGAAGATTCACCCACCATGTTTGGCAGAGTCCATCCATCCACATCACACTCAGTTTATATTTATCCCCATCTCTTCCAGCTCAACTGTTACTCCTTGGGTTTTCTCCACAGTTAGCTGCATGTTAAGCACAGACAGCTCTTAATTTCACATTAACTGCATTCCTAAATTTAGAGTTTCTAGGAAGCAAGGAAGGGCTCTATAAAATGGATTGCCAGCATGTCACATACTTAAGCTGTTGAGCAAAGGTATTTTAAATCAGCCAACCCACACAAGTCTCTTATTTTATCCTATCCTCCTTGGAGCTCACCATTGATACCCATTAAAAAAAACCTTTCAAACAATTGTTTTTAGTAATCAAAGTTTTTAAAGACTTCTGGAGAACTCCACAATCATGTCTGAGGGAATGTGAATATGACTCCTTATCTATAGAGAAAAAGCAAAAGGATGATTTTTAAGACTGAAGTGGCTATGGCCTAAGTTTTTTATCTATACAATAAAACAGTTTCAGTATCTGCTTGACTGCTCTACTGGTCACTGGTTCAACTCTGACAAAAAGAAAAATTAGCTTTTTACTACAGTTAGCTGTCCAGTAGACTAAAGGGTTTATAGGTTCTTTCTAACCTCAAAAAGACTTTTCTCTCAAAATTCACTGAACGCTGCTCTTACCTTATCTAAGATCCTTGGATCAGGAGACTGAGGCTAAGTGCAAACATCTCGGACATACAACCAAGCTGTCCTTAATTTTGATAGCATCAGTTGGAGGTGGGCAAGCAAGAGATAAAGACATTATCCTAAAAGCAAATAAGAACACCAAATAAATGCTTCCTATTTCTCAGCTGACAATCAGTAGAGTAGAGAAACTTCCTGAAGTGCAGACCTGGGATGACTGCTCACTGAAATGCAGCAATCTGTGATTTCAGTCGTGAGTTTGAGCAGCTGCTGTTTGGCAGAGAGATGTTCCTTGGAGTACAAACAACTCGGGAACTATCAGGGGTCACTAAGATAGGCTTGTTTCCTGGTGACACAAAACAGCACCTGGCTTAAAGGTTCACAGGGGGAGAGGGTAACTGCAACACTGCATAAGATGCCTTGCTAGAAAAGCAGGTAACACTTGGTTTTCTTTTAATTTCAAGAAGTGTTTTTGTCTCAGGCACTCTCTCTGCTCTGAAGGTGAAAATGCCAAGGTTCTGGGTAAGTCTGTTTTTGCTTAGCATCTCAGGTTGTGTCCTTGGAGGCACTTATGTATATGAAGCAAGAGCAGCTCCCATAGTGCTGGACACAGAACTGCAGCAGTCAAGCAGAGAGAACTACCAGTTCTTGGGCTTTACTCAACTCAGAACTGCTTTGAGAGCTGGCAGGGCTCCTAAGTTCCCCCCCTCTACCCTCTATTTTTCCCCACCTGCCGTCTTGGTTCGCACAGTGCAGACACCTGAGTACACCTGCACTGCTACAAAAGGAACAGATTGTTCAGAGAAGATGCTATTAGCAACTAAAAGGACATGTGTGTAAATATGCTGACCAAGGACACAGCAAGCAGCACTTTAGGCAAACAAAAAGATAACCAGAAAAGAAATGAAGCTAATCTGAAGGCAAGATGCCTCCAAACTGTGTTGTATGAGATTTCTCTTTCTCTAAATGCATACACACGCACACTGAATATCACTCAAAAGATATTTTAGGAACGCAACAAAATTCCTTCAAATCCTATAAATTTGTTCAGTAGGCTGGTGGGGTTTTTAGCTAGAATTGTGGTATCACTAAATAAAATATTTCTTAAAAGCTTATGCATATGTTTAAAGAATCATTGAACTTTCTTCTAGACCTGTGCAATTCCCATACAGTTTCACAGGATTTAAGTCAAAATATATCCCCTATCAAATACAAAAACTTCAGCTATATTAGGGCATATCAGTCCTTGGGTAAAATGAGGGCATATCCAAGGAAACAAAAATAGGAAAGGAAGTCTAAGATTCCATGAATACCCATGATGAGTACAACTTCAGGAATCACTTCTGAAATACACTTGAATGACCTTAGCAGGAGATTACACTCCAAATTCCAGGGGAAGGTAGAATCTGACAGCGGACATTCCTTCCCTTCCCTGCATTCAGTTCCACATTGCCTGGAGCAAGGAATCAGCCAGGAATCCAGAAGTGACACTTTCTGGTATGCCTGAGCACGTGTTCACAGGAATGTGAGTAGCAAGTACTTCTGAGAGTAACTGGCTACACCATCTGTGGAGAAGTCAGGTCAAATTATAGAGCCTAAGCACCAAAAACTATTGCCTTAATGCCAAACTGCACATATTATCAGCACCTCCAGTCATCTTCATTCAGCGATCTCCTCCTGCTCCGCCCAACAATTTATCCAAGCTAGATGAAAGCATATCTCAATGATCAGGAACAGATCATGACGTAGCTGTCTGTATAAGCCCTTCTGTTGTTTGAATTCTTAGCAGCTGTCTCAGGACCAATGTCTGGACACTGAATATTTTCTTTCTTCTGCCAGTTAGTGAAACAGATCTGAATTGTCTTCCATTATCAGTATGCAGCTATGCACAGTAATCAAATTACTGCTTTGTTTACTGAGAAACAATAAGGAGATAAAAGTTGGGTCCCTATCTTAGAAGTGCTTTCCAAATCTTTATTGCGTATCGTCAAGTACAGGCACCAGAAACTGAATGCAGGAATCAAACATTAATAACTCCCCTGCTTTCACTAATAGTCAAGGATCACATTCACTGCTGATAGCTCCAACAGCAGCTTTCTGTATATTGCTGTAATTTTAACTCCCTTCCTCACTTCTCTTTAGGTATTTTCAGACATTGTTTGCCATAAAATCCATGGTTTCTGTTTGACAAGTCTATTTCCCAGCATATTAAGAATAAAAATACACCATGTTAGGAAAAAAAACAAAACACATACACAAAAAAGAACCTCACTACAAATCCAACAAAACATAAGACACTTGTGTTTACATAAAAAGAGAAGTTACTAATAGGTCCGGGGCCTTTCCTGATCAGCACACACATATAACTAACCCACAAATGAGTCAGCATGAGAAACTCTTCAGGGTTTGTTAGGAATACAGGTATTTGTACAGCAAGCCATCTTCCTATACAAGCTAACTTCCAATAAGCAGCAATTGCAATTTTCCTCCCCCTGCAATCTCCCATACCTAACATCCAGACTCTTAGGCTTCAATTATTATTTGCTTGGCTTTAAAACTGATACAAGTTCTTGGAATTCTAGAAGCCTCTCAGATCAGGTAAGCAGACATGTTTAAAGAAGGAACACTTTTTTCAGCTGTAGTAGGGTTAATCTCAGCAGCTCAGAGACAGTTAAGCCTCAAGCCAGAGCAGGGCTTTCCCTGGATAAGGCTGGGGTTTTTTCCCACTAGGCTTCTCGTAAGTTTAATTATGCACTCTGAACATCATATGACTTACAAGAAAAGTTTGTTCCCCAGCATGGAAATGTCTTGTAATTTCTGACTTGTTTTGGAATAGCACCATCAAAGGTTTCCACCAACATATTGGTCAATAACAGCAAGAAACACACATTCATTATGCAGGATTAAAAAAATTGTTTGACCTCTTAGTCTCTTTTTTTTTTTGGCATTAAAATACAGAGGTTTTTGTGGTAAAGACACTGATCTATGCCTTTAATGAAAAAAAACCAAATGACCACAAAAAGTTCAGATCTCCAGTCTGATAGAGAGCATACACAACAGCAGGTCAATTACCTCTTTCTGGACTTTCATTTAATTAAATGTAGCTACAGGTACATGTATGCATGTGTGCACACAGCTGCATGTATATACACACACACACACCAAACTATAGTCATGGAACCACAAAAGTGGCACAGAAACCACCACTTTCCTCAGTCAGCTTGAAAGGCAGTGGCACTTTGTGCCTCCTGCTCAAAAGGAAAATAATTTAAGGAGGATGCTGCTCAACTTTTCACCAATTTTATGTCTTCTGTTTCTACCTTGCATCCCAATTATCTTTTCTAATTAGGATTATAGCCTGAGCAAGATATGACATCTAGCATCATCACTTCCAGTTTTTTTCTTTTTTTTAACAGTCTCAAGCCAAGAGGAGCTACTGTAGGAAAACACAGCAAAAAATCCTTCATCCTGCTATGCAAAAGAAGCCTCAGCTTACACCAGTTCATTATCAGATTCTCTGCACTTGAAGGAAGCAAAATCCATGAACTCCAGTCAGCTCTAGAATGAGATCAGATTGAAGAAATACAGTAGCATGGGAATTTGCTGAGAAAATAACAATAAAAATTTCTGCTCCAATGAGAGAGATTAACAAGATGAAGTATGTAAGAAGTGCCATTCATCCTCCTCCTCCTCACCCAAGTGGGTCCTGCTTTTCTACAAAGTGATAAGCAGAGACTATTTATGAAGATCAGATGAAGGCCATGTTACCTGATCTACTGCCCATGGGTCTGGATACAGTTCAGCCTTTTATATCACAAAGGAGGTGTGAAAATTATGTATGAAGCAGCATATTTCCAGAATTATTCTGGATCTATTTCTAGAATTGGCAAAATTCTATTTCAAGTTATCTTGTAAAATTAACATTTAAGCTTAGCAAGTTGGTCAAAGAGTACATAAGATTACAAATTTTTGGTACAAAGGACTCCTTTTAAAAAACAAAGCTGTTAACTTGCAAGTTGTCATTAATTTTAACTTCCCCCTTAAAAGAGCAAGTGAAAAAAAACCAACAAAATGACAGGTTTCAGTAACACAGATGCATAAAAATTTAAAAACAGCACAGTAATATTTTTCATATCATCTCAGAGACAGTGATTATTCCCACCTATAAATCTCTGCCTCTTCCAGGACTCCCCCAACACCAACCCCTCAACCAGTCTCCTCCCTCTGCAGTGACAGGTTATCAGAAGTGAACTGCAATGTTTTTTCTTTCAGCTGCGTGCATTAAGTAATGCTGATGAATTGCAATAACATACATGCACCAGCCAAATACTGGAACTTGCTATTAAAATGTCAGAAAAGGAATCTCTGGATATTCATGACAATTCCTTCATATTAAAAGATACACACTTGATATTACAATCATTTCTATATAACCAGCCAACGTGAAGTGTTTCCCAGTGTCCTGTAAACCTGACATTAGAACCTATGTGTGCCTCAAAAAAAATGGAAAGTACCAGTCAACAAGTTCTTAGTGTCCCCTGCTACTGTAGTTTGTGGAGCCTGCTGGAATAGGTTTGTAAACAGAAGTTAGAGATCAGATAGAAGTTCTTATAGCAAGAGCACAACTCCAAATTTGAACCGTTGCCTCTGCTGAATCAAGTTCAGATTTACCCCAGATAATTTAAAAAGCAACAAATTGGCATCTGAGACTTTCTAGGAGAAAGTTATGATGATAAGAAGTCTTCAAAAAACAATTAAAAAAAAAAAAGTGTCCAAGAAAAACTTCAATACCAGTTGAGCAGGACCGAGTGACCTCTGGGAATCAAAAGCGTGAGTACGCGGTTCTCTGCTGCTGCTGCTGGGATGGAGGCTGTCCTTGCTGCTGCTGGAGACGAACCTGCTGAGAGTATGGATCCTCAAGAGACTTAACAAAAATAGTTGTTTTAGGCCCAGTTTTCCAGACAATACCATTTGAGTCTATCACAGAGGACTCCACTGTGATGTTGTGGGTGCCAAGGATCACAAAGTTTAACAGGAACTGAGTGCTGAAATAGTCGTTGTGCGGTTCCACCTTCTGCTCCATTTCATTGGTCATGTTGTCAATAGGAATCTGAGAACACAGATGGAAAGTTAAAACACCGTTTTACATAAACCTGCCAAAAATAAGTTTCTAACTCTCCATTTGAAGGAGAGGAATAAAAAGGAAAAAGCTGTCCTCAATTCTTCTAAACATAAACACATGTGCATGTTTGAGACAGCTTGACAAGATAACAAGTCGCCTTCTACCTGAGGTTCTACTTTTCCACAAAGTAATGTGAGTCAAACATCACACACTTCCTAGTCCTGTTACTTTACAAGCCATTGACTTTCTCCTATTTGCCCTCAAAAAAACCCAAACAACAAAACAAACAAAAACCTGACCCCAAAACACACCAAAACCAGGGCTTTCACTATCAGATGTTAGTTGAACCTAAATCTCAGGCATGCAATCTTTGATGAAACTGTTTACTTAAAGTTAATATGTGTCTCTGCAGATGCTATTTGATTCGGACAGTGTGTCCTCAAAATTTCCACAAACAAAAGAAAAGAACCTTAAAACGACTGTAAAGAAATTCTAGAGATTATGTGGTAGAGAATAATCTATTCCTGGTTTGTTTTTTTTCCCTGTGGAGTTTTGTATGATGTATAACTGGGCTGAGTTCTCCTAATCTCAGGCAGATTCCTAATGACTTGTTCTGAACATCACAAAGCCTCTTTGTTTGGAAGAAGAGCTGTTACAAAAAGGTACTGACATATTGCAGACTTAAAAATCCCAGATCCCCTCCACACGTTATGCTTGGCCCTGGCCAGTGCTTGAATGTCAACTGGCAGGAGTGAAAGGATTACAGAACCACCCATTCATTTCACCCTGGAAATTCTGCTACCCAGAGTCAAACAAAAGAACAGCAAAACACAGCAAAAAAGCTTAAGACTCGTCCTGACTCTACTCTATCCACACCTTATAGTCTTGTCCAGATTTGCTCTGCAGCACCGAAGAGACATTCAGACAGACGGACTGGATTTTACGGAAAAGGCCTGGTTTAGATCCATGCTGAACCACTCCTTCCACCTTGAGGGCCAATTGCTGGTTGTTCTGTACTGCTATAGGCTCTGCTGGGTTCCTTGGAGATGGGGATAGAGCAAGCTGGAACACAAGTAAACAGATCAAAATGTAATTATGAGCCTTCAGAAAAGCAAACAGAATTCAAGGATGAAACAGGACACCTTCTTACAGAAAAATTTCCGAGGAGAGGTTGGGTAGGAAAATCAGCAAATGGAAACACAGACATTATCAGAGTATTCGTTACTATATTAACTAATAAACATCATCAGCAATACCAGATATTATCTTTGTATCAGTTTCATTTACTTGTTTCATTTACTTGTGGAAGATGTGGAAGAAATGTGAAGCTGAACAAAAAAGCAAAATGCAATGAGTAATATTAAAAAAATTTAAGGCTTTCACTTTTCCCAGAAAAAAGAAGCACTTGAGTAAAACAAAAAAAAACACCACCATAGCCATATACACTCACTCTTAGTCAGTGAGCTGATATATATGACAATTTTCTTCCAAGATAGTGAACACTGTTTAAAGGAAAAGGGAAAAAAACTAATACAAATCTATAAAAGCTGTCCTCCCAGGACCAGAATTATTTAGCTTTGCAGACTCAGAATCAACAAAAATTCCAGGTACATTTTATCTTTAAGGCTTTGCAATCAAAAAACTGAATCCCACTTGCCTAAGTGACAGTCTAGTAGTTCTGAACAACCATACATACATGTTATTCAAGTTATTCCTAACATTAACCTAAATGCTATTTGAGTTATGTATATTCACTAAAGATGCTGAAGCTTTGTGCCTTCAGTAGGGCTTTTCTCATGAAAGGCTCTGTAAAGAGAAATTTGAGGTCCTATTTGAGCAGTACATACCTTAATACTTGTAGACTGGAGCTTTTGGAAAAAATACCTTTGAAATGAAAGGGGCACCTTCAACAATGCAATGACAGCATTGCACAGACAAGCTGTATGCTGCAAGAAACAAGAGTCAGAACAATTGAGAAAAAATATCATTCATGACACAGCAAAACCCATGTACTTAAACAGCAGGAATTTCCATTTTAAGTCCAAAAATATATTAATACAGTCACAGAATTAAAGCCACTAAGATGACAGTGACTACATTCAGCCGCTCTGTTTATGTTCTGCCCCTTATTGAAGGAGGTATTCTGCTCTGGAAAAAACAAGGAGGCCAAGCAAAAGAAAAATACAAACTCTCCAGTCCTAGTGTTACAGTCAGCAGAGCATTTTCTGCTTGAAACACTCATCCAGAAAAACTCTCAAAGAACAACTCCCCTCCAAGCAAAAAGGCTGGCATCTATCACAACTTAATGCAGTAATTAAGTTTTAAGCCTCTTGTCTACTCTTTCCTTCCCTGCTGCACCATGCCTCTGGCTCACATGAACACAAGCAGTGCCACTGAAACCACCAAGCTGCCTTGGTGTGGAGCCAGCCACAACTACGTTTACAGGGTTTACCTTTGCTGTGGTTTACATGATTTACTCTTCTATTCTATTTGGAATTGGTAAGGACTGTTTGATTAAGAAACCAGGCAAACAGATGGCAGCCATGACAAACAAACTACCTTGTTCCCATTAACATGCACTTCAGCTTTATGATGTTCATGAGCAGTAAGAGACAAACCCACCAGCCCTGTAAAGGAGAGTGTTATCAGCTCGGTGTTTGCACCCAGCACACTCCACACCGTGCTCTCTGATGACCTGCACTGATAAGAGAAATGCTACACTCACAGAGCACAGCGCTCACCACCACCAGAGAATTTCTCTGCAGCAAGAACATGAATGAAGAGAATGTGCTCCAGTGTTTGAATGTGAATGTAGTAAGGGGTCTGACAGAGACCTGACAGTGCTTTTAGTTACCTTATCAGCATCTGCTGTGCTCCTAGGATGGGAATTTTAAAAAGATTATTTTTAATCAGACCAGTGAGGCTACGGATGTTTTAGCAAAATGGTTCTTGAAGTATTTTTAAACAAGTGTAGAGGCCATTTGTGTCAATAATGTCAAGTAACTGAGAATGCTTCCCGGTTTCTTGCCAACCACAGATATATGGAGTTCTGGGATGTTGGCCGCTTTCTCTACACAATATTTAAACATTTAAAACTGTTACTTGCCAAGTAAGACACAGGAGCATACTTCCTGTTGAGAGATTCCACTTCCTCTAGTACACGATTAAATACAGACATCATTCTTCTTTCATATTCACTTTCAACATGAGCTGTTCCGTTTGAGCTATATTCCTGGAAACTAAAAAAAAACCAGAAGAAACTTTTCATTATGTCTAACCTATCTTCCTCATCATAACCTGGAAGGCATACTGCCAAAGAGACATGACAAGGGATTACAACATGAAATCCATTAAAAAATGTCTTTCAAACGTTTTACGCTGTTTTTTAAATTATTTTTCCACTATAACACTTGCCCTTTGAATTTAAATCTTTCTTAACTACCACTTATTCACCACTTCTTGTCCCCACCCTCTCAGTTGAGGCAGTGACAGGTCTAACAGACTCAGCATACATACTTCCCATGTATTTTATTTAACCCTGCAGTGTGTGTAACAGTCAAGAAAATCTCACAGCACAAAGCAAGAATGCCAGTCAGAATTACAACTAAATCTTGAAGTTTATAATCTCCTCCTCTGAATAGAATCGTACACACCCAGCTTCCTACTAATTTGACTAATACACCTTCTAAGCAATGCTTAATTCATAATGAGTATTACAGTAACTTAGGATGTTCACTTTTATTACCAGCTATAAAATCACTGAGAGCTTTTACCCACAGTATTTTCCATTTAATCTCAGCCTGGGAGTTTTAAGCAGTGATTCAATTCATCAGGACTTCAATGTTGTTTTCTAGTGGACTTAAGCTCACTGTTAGAAAAAGAGCCAGAGGTGATGGCTTTACATTAAAAATTTGAACTAATTTAGTGCATGTATTCTCACAACTCTGAAGGAAGCTAAGTTGCACTTGCAAGTGCAAGCAACAGGTATGGGATCTAACACACAACACAAATTAAAGTAAGCAGCTAAAGGAGAGATTTAAAGTTCAAGTCTGCATTTAAGGTAAGTCCAGTATTCTCAAGAGCAAAATCAGTATGAAATGCAGAACCCAAGAGAGTTCCCAATCTGCCAGGTATGGCACAGCAGCAACAGTTTCTGAATGTTTCTGAACATTCCTTGAGTTCCTAGTTTTAAAGCTCCCAGGATTTATCAATAAGCAGAAAAAGAACATGCAGTTAACTATCAAACCTACCTTGCAGATTCTGGATCCAAAATCAGAGCTTCTATTGCATGTGAAATCAACAGACAGCTCTGCTGTTGTCTGATATTAATACTAAGGAGTTAAAAGACTTTCAAAGTTGGCACCTAAAGCAAGAAATGCAGTGTGTTTAGTGGCACTTTTCCTTGCTTCTGGTGAAGTAATCCTACAGTCATTACTCAGTTAGTGACCAAAGAGCAAGAACTGTGAAAATACCAAGTTATATGCTGCTCCAATTTTTGTCTCATAACTTGCTTATCAAGTAATTCCAAACAATAATATGGTAATGTTTATTTTCAAATAGGTTTTAAACAATTGACTGCTAATTTTTATGTTAGCAACTTTCAAAATTACTTCATGGCAGTCTTCATAGGAAAGAGGATTCTTACACTTCATGCTGCCCACATTAGAATGGAAGTGGACAAACTCTCGGATTTTTAAAGGATACAGTTCTACATTCCTTAGAGTTGCTGAGTCCGCATCAAATGATGACTGATACAGATCTCCATACCGTGTAGCCAAGTTTCGGAATTCCTCCATTGAGTGCTTCATCTGGAGAGACAATGTTACTAGGCAAAAACACAAAGCAAAACAAAACAAACAAAACCCCACACATCCAGAAAACCACTGCACTCTAACATACAACACTGAAGGAATAGGTGGCTTATTACAGAAAAATTTATTAAGTTCTTGCTTCTTCACTCAGATAAAGATTACCAAAGTGACAGACTGTTATCTACGCATTAAACAAGTATTTTTCCTGCACCAACAAAATCTCCTTGGGTTAAAAACAAAGCAAAAGGAAAACAAAAGCCACCAACAACCTCCTCCATCCCCTACTGGTAAATCAAACTGCTCTTTCAACGACCACCCACTGGTTCCTTCCTGCAGACTACATGGATTTGGAAGCAAACCTCCTTGGTGTTACGTACGGTACCAAGGCAGCTGTCAACTCTCAGCAAAAGGAGTTGCAGAATCATCCTCAGGTACATATGTTCTTCCTTAGTGTACTCAAGAGTGTCTGAGGTGTTTCAAATCAAGGTGTGAAAAGCTTTGCCACAAGTTTGAGTGTACCAAGTGACTTGCTACATGCATAACCTTGGAAACTGTGCGTGACTGGAGGAGAAAACACACATGCACGCTCAGCTTCAAAACACGGCCTGCTATAGGCAGGCATTTTCAGAGCTACAGTTGAAAACCAAAGTCCACAATTCAAAAAAACACACTTCACAACTACTTTTCATTTATTTTGTCAAATATGCTTGCTGAGAAGCAAAATTCATACCAGAGTCACAAACATAACTGCACAAGAGCAAAATAGGAGCACATATACCTGGTTGGAGATGCGTCCACACCTCTGGAGATCATTTCCTGATGTCATAGCAATTGTCGTGGCAATAGCTGGGGGGGGACTTGTTTTTAGGCTGTTGCAGGTACAAATAAGTTGAGAAAAAGCTTGCAGAAGGTCAATCCTGAGTTTCACAAAACCACACTGAAAGCTCAGAGGATTAAGTGGCGTACTGGCAGCCTGAAACACAGTAATAGGAATGTTGGCAAACTAGGTCAAAAGCAAAAATGATAAAATGACACTGCAGTGCCACTGAACATTAGAAAACTGAATCCTTAAGTTCAATTCTAAAAGCTGGTTTTTTAAAACTGCATTTAACAGGTTTGCTCAATTTCAACCATACTAAATATAAATGACATAGAAATTACATAATTACTAAGTCATATTCCAAGCACTTCACCCTCGTAACCAATGTGACTTAAGCTGCCAAAACACTGTTAGGGCACCTATTTCCTCTTTTTCCAAGGCCAAACCATTAGGCTTCAAATGACATTAGGCCAGATAGTCTTTACCATAAGAAAAAGTACACTGAATTGGATGGTAAACAAGAAACGCAAGGACTGAAAAAGTGATTCTCTGCATCAGCCAGAAAAGAAAGAATTGGCTGAAGTAACCCACAGCAAGATGAAGGGGTGATTTTTTTGGAACTGTGAAATGGATGAGAACACTATGAAGGCACTGAACCTTGCATTTGATCAAGGCAAGAGACACGGTCTAGTGGTAACTAAGAACAGTAAATAACAGAATTCCAGGAAGATAGACAAGCTGCTATTGTTTAGAAAATACAGTTCTATGAAGCTTTGCTCCCTAAGAGCTTATCTGACTTGGAGAAACATCTGTGACAACTTAGGACACCCAGGAGAGGGTAAACTGCAGTACTCAATGCTTGATATTAGTAAGCCAAAAATCCACTACTTATTTTTCTTACACTGTTGGATTTTGTAAAGAATGAGCCCTCTCCAAAAACAAAGCACTGAGACTTTCTCTTAAGACTTACTTCCCCAGTGCTTCTTGTTCCTCACCAGGTCACTTCTCAAAGCAAGAAGTTATAATCTACACCAAAACCTTACTAAAAATCATTTCTCTGCTGGCAGAAAACCAGCTAACTGATTTCTCACAAAGCATCACATCATCTGAGAACTGGCCCACTATTGCCAAAAGTGAGGAATTATCAGCCCACTGCAACCAGTTTAAACTACTGAACTAAACTTCAACTGAAAAAATAAGACTATTTCATATTAAACCATTAAGCCTCTCTTATTTAGCACTTTGCTTTTCCTTCTCCAAGGGCACACAAAAAAAATCCCTTTTGAACTGGAATTGTTCCATTTATTTTGCAAGGATGGTTTCAGCAAACCCTCTGTGGAAGAGGGCTACACTGCACTGTAATTGCTCTACAGAGACTACATGCTTTTAAAGAGTAAAGTACTCATATCAGAAAATCCAGACATTTTTAGTAGCACAAATTGGACATGAGTCTTGTAAATGGAAATACAAGCTTGTCTCATTAATACTGCAATTTACCTTATCTGCTATGGGCAATAAATGAGTAACAATTCTTTTTGAAAGTGACAGAAATATTTTTTTGGCTCAGCCAAGTTCTTCAAACACTACCACTTCCTATAGACATATCTGGATTTGGTGCTACTTAACCAATAGCTGTATAAGTGCTTTGTTCAAGTTTTGTATCTCCTTTAGATTACCAGCAGTGAAAAATTAACCCAATGCTTCCAATGAGACACATGATCTGTGCCAGAAAGAGCAGAACCTATTCAAAAACTTTGCTAACTCTATGACCAAGCACACAGCAAGGCAGATGTGGTCAGTATGCTCCCTGACAAGTCCCTGTTCTCCCACAGGGAGAACCTCTTACCCATAAAGCAGAGGGACTTCCTTCTCTCAAGTGCACTAACTCCCATGAAAGAACACTCTGCAGTGCAAGACAGAGTTTAATGTACATCAAGGAGGAATTGAGAAATTTTCCGACAAGGCACTGTCTGAGTATTTCATCGTTGCTAAACTGGGCTGGCTGAACATCTGCAAGAGATTTACTGACACTGTTTTCCAGCTACAAAGTGGAGGAGCTACACAAGGTTCATCACATGCACCACTGGTCTGTGGTACCAGCAGTGCTGAGTCATGCCCTACACTGAAGCAGCAGCAACAGGAAAGCTCAAGTCACAGGGAAGAGAGCAAAAGCCTCCAGCAGCAAGGCTGTCACATGCATTTTGTGGCACTTTGCTCCCCTTGGAGAGGCTGAGTTCTATAGACAAGCAGTGAGTGGCTCCTTTTACAGCTGATACACTCAAGCATGGCTGGGAAGTTCTCCAGAGTGATGCAACAAGTCAGTAGCAACCAGCAGTAAAACCCAACTTCCTCCCCTCTAACCTACAGAACGTGTACTTAGTCCCCCAGACCACAGCCATTCACAAGGAGGGCACTGCGCCCAGAAAAGCACTACATGCAACAGGAACTGAAGTCAGCAGAAGACATGAAGACAGGAATCCTTCAACAGAAAAAAAGCCCCAAACTCCACAGAATTGGTAATTAAATTACTGGATCACAGTATGACCTGTTAAAGCAAGTTTTTTTCCTGCCTGTATTAAATATTAACATCTAATTAGATGAGGTCCTCCTCTCAATGTCTTCTCGATGTTAGAGAAATCTTGAAATGTTGAATTAAAAGCCTTATTCACTCAGCCAACAGTTGAAGAAAAACACTTCAGGAATGATGGGTCTTTCAGAGGACAAAAGTAGAAGTTTATGTCATTTCAGCTTATTCAGGGACATTTAATTAATAAATAGTAATATCTGGAATTTATTAAACACTAATGTCTGAATTGCCATGACCCTAACTGTCCGGTAACTGAAACAACAAAGCAGCTTCACTGAAAAGGCACACAGAAAACTGCATGTAAAGATTTCCTCATGGAAACTAAAATATGAAAGAAAGTATTGTGTGAAGCTGGATCATCTTTGCTTAAGAAGCAACTTTACAGTAGGAACTAAAGGTCCCTAATCATTAATGCTTTTTTTGGTCTAAAGACATCACATAGCTTCTTGGTATTTTTACCACTTCAGAGAAGCAGAAATATTTGCATAAATGCAGGTACCAGTTGGATTTGAGGAAACTGAATTGTCTTCCCTCTTCTTACTAACTTGCTGTTAGGATTCCATGAGATCACATTGTCAAATAGAAGGCAACATGAACTCAACAGGAGGGAGGAAGACAACTGAACCCTTCTCTGTATTTCAAGAAGACAGCAGCCAATTTAGGCCAATTCCCAGGCTTGACTATTACAGTAACTTTTGTTCACCCAAAGCAAGGAGTGGAAAATTTTAAGTATTGCAACTTTAATTAAACAAGATCTGTCACATTTCATATGATCTCATCAAGGGAGGAAATGAGGGATGGAGGGAGAAGAAAAAGCAAAGAGAAATCTAGCTAATGACACCTGGCTGAGTTAGAGGATCTTTTCTCTCAAGATGCAGTGTGTTACAACTGAGATGCCTGCAGAGGAGAACCCAGCAGAGTCTGGCAGATGCCAGACATATTTAAGAACTTTTCAGGGAGTTAAGAACAGACCCCAAAGAGCCATGCTGCAGCACCCAGAAGCATCACCACTACTAGAGATGTGTGCTGACCGTCAGTGAGGCTATTCCTTTGTGGTAGGATTTTAAGGCTTCGGCAATGCAGGAGAGCGCGGAGCTGTAGTTGTCCTCCTGCAGGCCTGTCAGGCACTGCTCTGCATGGGAGAACTCCTTCAGGCTGTTCAGCCAGAAGTAGAAGTGCTCTGAAGCCACTTGAGTCAGCAGGCTTTGGTACAGTTCTCTGGCCATGTCGTGGTTGCCCTGTAATGAGAAGAATGTTTCTGAAAGGGAATGTGAAAGAAGGCTGGGGATTTCTACAAAACTTACACAAATAAGAAAACAGGAACATCTCCAGAACTATTCCCATCTTAAAACCAGAAATAGTGAAACTTTTTCCAATTATTTGATTGTGGCAATCCTGGTAATATAGAAAAGCACAAGGGCTTACTTTATAGAAATATCAGCCTGTAAAAAAGTATATATTTATTTACACAAGATAATTCAATATGATGAGAAAAAAAAATCATGGAAATTTACCTCATCGTCTCATACTAGGATTTCTGTGTATTCTAACCCCTACTGTGAATTTACTGAAGGGAAAAGGGGAACAGTATATTTTTCTTCCTTTCTTTACATTGAAGAAAGAGAACCATACATCACATTCTGAAGAGCAGTCAGACAATACAGATTAGGTAGGTCCTCAAGAAAATGCCAGGACATCACTTACTTCCTTCTCAAACACTTTAAAAGGACAAGTGAAAAAAACATTTTGATGGGATGAGTGTCCCAAATTATATGTATCTGAACCTGCATTCCAGGGAATTAGGAGGGAAAGTGATTTTTATTCTTTTTTCCTCCATTCCTTATCCAATTCAAAGAAATCCCTGGCATTCCTTCAATCACAGCAAAGCATTTTTCTCCAGGTATTTTTACTTACCATCCTGGAAGCTTGCCTGGCTATCCTGTAGGCTGTCCATCCATTGGAGGCATTCTCAAGCTGCTGTTTGATAACCGTTTTGATTTCTGTGGACAAAGCTTTCTGACTGGAAACAAATATCACTGTGGCAAGAGAAACCTCGTAGAGAGTGGAGGAGTGAGAAAGAAAGTTATATTTCAGTAACAAAAGAAGAAAAAAAAGCCATTTCTGTTTTAATTTGGGCTGAAAACTACATAGAAGATTACACATATATATTTTAACTGCAAAACTTCTCAGTCATATGTTTTAAATAGTTAAGCAATCCAACTATATCTTGTAGATAAAAGTAACTTTCATTTAAAGAATCTCTACTCTGCCTTGTAGCTGAAATATTTCAAATGCTCCAAATAAATTAACAGAAAGCTTGTAATTTCTTTTTTAAAATTCAAATTATTTTCCAAGTAGATGTGATGAAAGCATTTTTCTCTCTTACAGTATATTAAGTCATTTGCCTCAGAGCACCCTATATAAATGGAGCTAGCTGCCATTTGGCCTTTAACCACTACTTTAGAGATACCCCAATAATTTCAAAAGCCAGGTTTGCCTAAGCAGTGCCATCTGCTGGAAAAATTAATGAATACACTGCACAGTACAGCTCTGTCTTGGAGGTTTTTCTACACTAAGCACTGACACATGGAGTCAGAAGTTAAAACAAAATTGAAAATAATGGCTACAGACCGGCACATCAACCTGGACACATAACAAATGTCTTAGCTGCCTTTTAAAATACAGTCCATTCACAACTGTTTACACAGACTTTATCCATCAAAGGAGGTCTTACCAAGAGTTCCTGCTTTTTATCTGTGGCAGATTGTCCAATTAATTTATAGAGGTCCATCAGGTCTCCCAGCATCCCATCTGCCAAGACAGGCAGCTGCATGGCAATGGCTGCTAGGCAGTGGCACATGAGGATCCTGGCATTGTCCTGGGCACTGTGCAGCTGTGTCAGCAGGGATTCCACCACGGACTGGCTCAGGTGAGGGCGGCACTTCACCAGCTCCACCATGCAAGTTAGCGTGATCTGCAGCTCACACAATCCACAGGTACAATCAACACAATGTCTTCAAAACCAGAAAATCCAAGCACACTTACTTAGCTGCAAGCAGGGCTGAAGAAATACAGATCTGGTAATTTCAGAACTATGTACTCTACAAAAGATGAGACTTTTCTAAGAGCCCAAGCCTTTGTCCCCAAGCTACCAGCACAAAAACATGTCACAAATTCAAGAAACATTAGTAGTCTCTCACACCACCAGCCTTTAAGGTAAATAACTAGAAAAATTACTGATGGTTGCTGAAGTGGGAAAATAAGAATAATCATTTACAAAAATGTTGTGATAATGTACATTACATCTCCATCTCCAAAAAGCAAGTTCTCTCCAAGATTCTCTTTGTCCTCCAGATACCCCGACATCCAATGGCGGTTCATGTTTTATTACAGGTCCTCTGAGAGGAATGCTCCCTGCCACCTGTAACAATCCTCTTATCCTAGAGCTGAAGGGAGTTCTACTATAGCTATGCTCAATTTCTCAACTGCTCTGAACTCTGATTATGGACAAACCAGAAAAATCTTCTTTTCCCTCCACTCTGTTATGCTTCCACCAGAAAGGATCTGGTGCACACCAGCCTCTCTGTTATACAAGCTGTTATTGTAACTTACAGCTGTGAAGGGGAATACAACAGTAATGTCACCTTTAAGGTTGCCTGAGCTCCTGGGCTGTCATCTTGGCTACAGAGAACAAGAAGAGCTTCTAAGCCAAAAACTGCATCTTGCTCCAAAGGCAGAAGATCTACAAAAAAGAAAAAGAGTGAGTTTGTTCTCTGACCATAGTTGGTGTAATGCTTGCACTGCTGTTGCAGCCATGACAATTAAGAATCTTCCTAACTCTTCTGCTTTGCCTTACTTTGACAAGAAACAATTCTGCCATTCTATGTCTTGGGTAACTATTCAGCAGCCACACTGACACTTACAAAGCATGCATAAATCTTGGGACCAAGACTTCTAAACACCTTGTTATTATTTTGCAAGACACTTTGTGCCAAGGGCTTTCAAAGGTTGACGAGCAATTTATTAGCCTTACAGCAAAGGTAAAGCAAGTATTCATTTAGCACGAGTTCTACTGTGGACAGTGACTTTCTCTAAATGAGACAAAGATGGAACCTTCCCAACCATTCATAAAACCATACGGAGTATTCCCTGCTAGATTACAGTCCCCATTTTTTCCTAACCAGCATGAGGGATCAGACAGATTTACAGGCAAGTTCACAGACAGGACAAGTCAATACGTGTTAAGTGCATAAGCCTGACTGTAAACAGAGCCACTTCACTGCCCTTGCCTTCCCTTACCTTTTTCCTGGCAAGAGGCTGATATATTGGTCAGAATTCTCACTCCATGAGCTGCAATGCCACGGTTATTATGATAACAGCACTCCTGTGCTAGTTTTACCAAATCAAATGACCTTGCAGTTGTAGCTGTTGCTCCTAAATAAAAGCAAGGCAAATGAAACATAAAACTGCACAGTCCATAAATACACCACAGATCTTTAAGTACATTTCTGCAAAACAATGATATTCGTTTAGGGTTTCTTCTTATGTTTAAACAATAGGATAGAAATATTTTTCTCCCTTCAGATAAAATCAGAGACTCTCTCATTCTTGAACACTACACAAGTTAGACACATGAGAAAGAACATTTGGACCTAATGGTTGATGTTTCAGGACTCGGAGAAATATTGCCTTAAGAAATATTATGTCTGATTAAAAAAAGCTGGTGAGTCTATTATTAAGCCATGCTAGAATGATTGAAGAGGATGTACTATTTTTTTTTCCATTTCTGCAGCCCATGTATTTGAGCTCATAATACTCATTAAGACAGTCTGGCTTTCAAGAAGAAAAAAAAAAAAGAAAAAGGAGCATGATCACAATTTTGGGAACAAGATATCTTTAATCACTTTTAAATGTCTACTCTTTTTCAACAGTTTCTCCAGAACATTGTCACAGAGCAGAAAGGTTCACCTGGTACTGCTGTAGGTCAAGCCCACAAGGGTGGAAGAGTAACATACCAGCCCACTCTTACACCATGAAGCCTCCCTTACTACTCAAGAATTATGCAAATCCATGGTTTCAAAGCACCTTAAGCAGAATGCAGGTCAGTCATTTGAGAGGCAATACATCTCTTCACAAAATGAAGAAAACTTGAAGACCCAAAGGCAAAAAACCCTTTTTCATATACCACAGTACTCACAAAACAAAACAAAACCATCATTACTCATGACTATACAGTGTCCCATTTTAAGTTCTAAACATGATGAACACAGTCTGACTCTCAGTGTTCTGAAGTTCAAAAAATAGTTTTAGAAAATGCTACGAAGTATTTAGATGAAACTGATCATCAGCAGAAAACCAAGCTACTAAAATGCCAAAGGTAATGATCTAATCCAGTTTTCTTACCTGGAGCACTGCTGAAGTACTGTTTAATGGCAATGGTCCCTGATAACGTGGAAAGAACAGATAACATGCCCATTTTCAAGCTGTCATAAGGAGTGTTAAGAGCAGATTCACAGAGTGCCTAAAAATCAGCAGGAAAAAATAGAGAGTTAAAAAGTCCCATGAGCTGTTTATATGAAAAATTCAGTTGCACTTCTCTGGGAAGCTTTAAGAATCAAGATTTTCTACAGAAATTACTGTACTAAAATCAAAAATCAAGTTCTCAAGCATCTGGTTTAGAGGACTGAGGATGTGGCTTGCAGAAAAGTGACAGTGGATCCTATATGCTAGGAAACATCAATTAGAAGTCATTCATTAATTAAAAATCACTGACAAAAATATTATCTGGTCTCACTGATCCAACACTATAAAGGATTTTAAGACAGTTTCAGGCCTACTGATGATTCTGCAAGGTTTCAATTCTACTGTAACAATCTGCAAGGTTTTATATAAATATACACCTCTGAAGAGCAAGGTTTCAAGTGTCATTTCTTTTGCAGTATTTGTGTCCAATGTCTTTATTAATAAATAAATTAAGGTGTATTTTATGTTTTAACTCATTTGTTGTCCAATCCCTGTCTTACTTTTGTGCCTTTTGCCAGATCTTATCACAGGCCTTATCACATTTAGGTTTTAATAACTCTTAAAATGCACATTGTTCTCAATTCCTTATGCCAACACTGCCCACAATTTAGTCATTCACTGATTTTGGATGCTTTTTTAGTCAACAGGAGTGACAGTAATATGAGACATAAATAGAAAACATAAGTATATTCTGCTTTAGAGTGTGTCAAAACTGAATGACAGAGAGCCAGTAATGGATAAAGGAAAACAACACAATTAGTTCCATAGAACATAAAAAAACCCCACAGTATCAGGTATATGTATTGTGTAAGGGTTAAATTCTAAATATATCTGTGATTTATATCAATTAGTATTTTGCTAATCCACTGAATAGAATGGCATCCAAAGACAGAGGAAGATCTAATGACTGGGTTAGAAAATGAGTCTCAATGTGTCCCAAGACACCAATGTTTTACTCCAGTGCTATCAGATGAACTCCCAGAGCAAATCTGAAGCAGTAACTGTGAAGACTGCCAGGAGCAGAGAAGAATTAGCAGGATGGACTGCTCTAGGCAGCAACAACTTCTGAAGCTGATGTCTAGAAATCAGTGAAGCCTCCACAGTACAAAGACCAAATCTCCCAACTGACCTACACAGGACAGACTTAAAATGCTGAAGAAACTAAACAATGTTTGTTGGTAGAAAGGCATAAGAGGCAGGCCTTGCCATGGTAAAAGGAGGGTCTGTTCCAGTCCCTCTTGTATAAATATGAATAACTGTGGAGAACAACTTCCCAACTAAATATGTCAACTTTTTATTTCAGAAGTCAGAAAAACTCTTATTACTTCTGCATACCATTCTGCAAGCAGTAGCAAGTTTCAGACAATTAGTTTTGTTTTTACCTAGTCACTGGTTTAGCTCCGACATCAGTGGGACTTCTTCCCTATGCATTTCAACCATCAGGACACCCACTTCAAAACACTACATGACAATGAAAGCCATATTATCAATGTCTCTCACTTGAACTGATATGACTACTAATGAAATATAATGGGATAGAGTAGCATTTTCTCCACAAAAAATCCATAAATCCATAATTCCTTAAAATTCCTAAAAGGAAATAAATTTCTGGAGTTAAGCAATTATGCAGAATAAAACAGTTCACTAAAGCAAAAAGCTCTGCACACTCCAACTCATCATCGAGAACCCAAGAACTGGGGACAAAGCAGAACATGCTTTATTTCTCCACGATTGTTAACAAAAACCTGCACAGATTTTCCTTCCAGCTGCCTTCTGCTCCCACAGCACAGAACCAAAGTAGCTTCTGAGAGTAACAAAAGCAAAGAAAAAATGACCTAGGAAAAAGTAAAGCTGTAACCCTGTCCCAGTAAGTTCTTGAAATATTTACTTTCCCATTAATCTAAACTGAAGTTATTTTCCATTGTCATTTCTACCAGAAAAAGGGAAAAGAGAAAAAATTCATATGCAACTGTAATTGAAAGAAGGCAGCAGTAGTATCTACAGTAGAACACTAGTTTCCCCAAATAGCACAGGTGCACTATAAACACCTTCTCATGAATACAACAGGAGTCACAAGACTACTATTGAAAAAAAAAACACATTAATTCTAGGAAATGAAATCAAAATTCCATTTGTCCTTTCAAGAAACACCTTGCTGGACGACATGTTCTGACAAATCCCGGAGGCTCTGTTTTGCACCAGAGCGTTGGTGTGTACTCCGTGTGGTAAGATCAGTGTAAACATTCAGCTCTCATGTCTGTTACCTGAAATGGGTTTGTCAGATGGAAAAGCTACTTCCTCACTGTACAAAGGCCTCCTTCATGGCACATGCCTTCCCTCAGTAATAATGCTTCAACTTTAATCACTGAGGGTCAGCTTATCCAACTGAAGACGTTCTACGAACTGCTCATTAATACTTGGCTAGTCTGCTTGGCAGAGTAACCTAACTTAAGGGTATGGAGATACACGTTACTCCTTTCTTTACCTCCCAGATTGTTCCTCTGGAAAGAATTCTACGACTCCTTGGGAAGTTTCATAATAGACTTTAGCTTGAAAAACATACAGACCTGAATATTTTCTCTGCTCCATGTATGTGGTGTCTTGTTGGCCAACAGCTTCAAATCCTGGATTGCAAGCCTCTTCACAGCCTTCCTGGGGTCATTTTTCAAGTACTGCAACAAAAGTTGAATCTGCAAGAAAATAAATTCACTGTTTAAGAGTGATGCTACTCGGAGGAAGTATTTTCAAAAGCACTCAGGAAGAAAGGTAGAGCACACTGAGCCAAAACTAACTTGAAAAAGTATGAACATGCCAGCCATGGTTTTAGTCTCCATCCCCACCCTGGCTACATCAGTTTTGTGCAGTATTAGCTGTTGTGCTGCAGAAATACAGCCTAAATCTCCATGTTTACTGCATCAAAAAAAATAAAAGCAGCACATTAAGTGTTCTACTGTTGTTTCAGTAGACTCAGATTCAGTACCATCATTCATTATCTAAAATACAGAAGTGAGCCACAGCACTTTCAGAGTTTCAGACAGATCAATGCTATTATCTAACAGTCACAGACACCAGCCTTGCACGGCCGTACAGGGCTGAAAGAAAGCAAATAGATTTTCCTGACTCCTTTACAAGGATTTGCTGGATGAGTCTCAAGACCTGCTCTATAAACCACATCCATAAAGCTCATTATCAGAGCATAAAAAGCATTGTAGTTTCCCATCACTGCTTTCCCATTACTTGGTTTTCAGTTCTTGAATTTAAAGAACCGACTGAAATTCCTCAAAGTTCTCCAAGAAATGCATTTTAATGCATTCTATGCTATTGAAAGCTTCATGTGTTTGCATGAAAGAAAGGCAAAGGGCACACCTACAACCCAAGACAATATACAGAAATGCAAAGTGAAGCCTGGCTTCCACAGGCAAGTTGAAGATTTTTCAGAAAAAGTCAGGATGGTTATTTTCCTGCATGCTGATCTATCCTTGTTGATTTGAATCCCACTGTTGATTTGAATCCCTGATTTAGAAAAATACATGTTATGAACTGTAAAAAAGGCATAGTGTGTTTGATAGAGTCACCTGGAAATGGAACCAGAAAAGGCAGAAACTACGAAAGCAGCAGCAATTTTCAGGGTATTCTTCCCCAACAGCATACAGAAGCAACCAACCCAGAACAGCCATCACCATTTATTTTGATCAGCAGGCAGAATCTGAGGGTTTTTTAAATGTACTTTGTACTTCACAAGGAAGGCATGCCTTAGGAAGAATTACCTGCTTGGGAATGTCAACCAAAGAAGAAGCAGCAAGCAGAGTAAAGGTGTGCAGGGTGACAATGACCATCTTGGTGGAGGGGTAGGATGTCACCAGCTGCTGCAGTAGCTGCCGGGAGCTGGAGGCCAAGCTGGCATCGTGGTGCATGTGCTGCAGAATAGGGATCAACTTCAGCTTCAAGTCCACAGGTGTGGCCAAACCTGCAATAAGGAAAGAAACACAGCCAGAGTTAGTCCTTGGGCTGACTTTTTTGGCAGTTCTGAGGCAGAGTATGTCAGGATTGCTAGCACTGCTGAAAGGAGATTTCTGAACACCTGCAGTGGCTTCAAATAACTCATGTTCTAGCTAGGTGTGAAATGACAGCACTACCAAGCACTTTCATGGTTGTTTGAGAAAGCTACTCCTTGTTTCACTGCAGGTAACACACAAAGTAACTCATCTGAAGCAACCTATGAGAGTCCATGCAAGTTTATTCACCACACTGTAGATAGGCTTTTATTTCTACCAAGCAGGTGCTTCGAAAACTTAAATTTTAGGAGGATTTAAGATAACCAGACAGATTATTGATCAGATAATTTAAAAATTGGAATCATCTGAGAGCACCAGCATTCTGACAGCTAATATGTAAATATGAATAATAAAGAATTTTCAGACAAACTAAAGCTTTTCCTCCTTATCATTCAACATACACATGTACCTTGAATCATCTCACTGATTTTATTACAAATTCCGACAGCAAAATCCCTGTGGAGAAAAGAAAGTACCAGGTGAAATAAAAATAAAAAATTAAGTAATTAAAAATGAAATAAAATTTAGACTGAACTACTGAACACTGTGCTTTAGCAATTCAAAGTTACACAAAAGAGTGCCTGCCAAAACCTAAGTCTTTTCAGAGCCCCTGCACACAGGCATGACCAAAGGAGAAAATGAAAACTGACTTTCAAAAACTGACAAGCAACACTACATTTTAGTAATGTAATTTCTGTAAAGTAATTAATGATTAAAGCTGCTATTCCAGATCTCAGGCTCATATTTGAGCTTTCCATTTTAGGGGAAAAAAAAAAAATCTGCTGAACTTGTATTCAGATTTCCTTACACTGTTATTGCACATAATTGCTTTGCTGTAAAGGACAGCACAACAGAAAATAGTAAGGTTTGTGAATGTCAGTGTTAATGGAGTTTCCATTCCCTGTAATACGAAAAAGTGAAAAAAAACAGTTCTTACTTAGATTGTGCAGAAAAGTTGGCAGCAGCAAATATAGCAGCTTCAACTTCCACATTATCATGGGAATCCAAACTCTGGCGAATACTGTGATGTGCATTCTTCCTTTCTGGAATGATAGATGCCATGCTGCCCAACATCCTACAGAAATAAACCACAGCAAAATCAAGGAGAACAATGATCATGAAGGAATGATGAAACCAAATAAAAATGTAAAAAGGCTATGCTTATATAAATATGTGCTCTTTCATGACTATTACAGAAATAAACAAATGCTAAAAGCACAAAACTAAATGTAACAGATTTTGACCTGTGGGTTGTGTCAGTGGTTTGATAAAAATTTAATTACATTTTGATACCTTTTAGCTTGAAATTGGCACAGTGAGAAAACTTACTAAAAACTCTTTCAAAATTAAGAGTTCACTACGGCATTCTTTATTTCCAACATCTTTCACTGATGTAAGATAAGGTTATTAGGGAAAAAAGTACACTCTGTGTAATTGCTAAAAAGGTACCAAATCAACCTATACTTTGCCAAAAATATTTCAAAGATACCGTTCAGACATCTTTAGCATAATTCAATTAAAAGAAGAATAAATGTAGGATTGATTTATACTGATGGTAATTTTAGCAAGAGTTCTGTGGAAATATTTACACAGTTATCTAACAATAAAATTCCACAAAGTTTTGTTTAAGCAGTTCTTTCTTTCAACATGTTCTTCCTTACTGACACTATTCAAGGAGGACCAAAAAAAAAAAAAAATCAACAGGAGATTTTAAACTGAAACTGCTAAACCAACAGCTATTTTAACATTATATTTGATGTATTCTGAGAATTTATTAGTAATTTAAGTTTTTTTGCAAACTGAGAGGATATCTGGGACTTGTAGCAGTCTGTGAAGATAACCCTCCATGCCAGTCAACAACTGCAATCTTAAATTAGAATACTGAACTACAAAAAATGATGCAGACACATTGTATTTACAGATTTCTGAGACACCAGGGCATGAAAGCATAATCTCAAATGAAGTATTGAAGGACAAAAGAAATGGACCTGATCAATCAAAAGTCCTGTTAATGCCTCCAATTTCCCAGTAGCAAAATCAGTAACAGTTCTAGATGAAGGTACAAAAATAATATAAAGAGAAAAAGACAAGTGCTCTCTTCACATTTGAATTCACCCACACAGAGGCTGGAAGTTGTAGTTAAGAGGATCATGTTGGACAGCATTAGAGACACAGACACCAAACCAACAGGAGAGTGACATGAAAGATTAATTTTATTTGTTTTCCCATTTGATTCCCAGAAGTTAAAAGCAGTAAGTAATATAAAAGCATTTCCTTAGAAGTTACTGATCAGAGATCAACTAGCAGTTCCAGCTGGGACAAGACTGAATGAAAAATAGGTGCAAACATTACAAGCTTCCTTTAAGTTTTTGTTACAAGTTAACAAAAACTATTTGGAAAGGAAGCACTTTCACTTGGTCTAAATGTATCCTAGACAAGATGGGATATATTGCATATAGCTACTGTCTGGCTTATGCATACAACAGATTCAGTTTTCTTCTCTGGTGTACACAAAATTTCAACACTGCAAATTTTGCTTTGCCTGGGACCAGCCACAAAATTCTCACCATTGTAAGTAGTTAATAACCTTGTTCTTATCCACAAAATTCTCACCATCATAAGTGGTTAATAACCTAGTTCTTGTATTACAAATCCTTATCATTCACACCTTTTAAAGACAGAATTCTTTGCTTTTAACTTTATCAGCAATGTATAAAAAGCCTCCTTTATTTCATTCACAGAATCACAGAATGGCCTGTGTTGGAAGGGACCTTAAAGATCATCCAGTTCCAACCCCCTTGCCATGGGCAGGGACACCTTCCACTAGACCAGGTTGCTCAAAGTCCCATCCAACCTGGTTTTGAACACTTTCACGGATGATGCATCCGTAACTTCTCTAGGCAACCTGTTCCAGTGCTTCACCACGCTCATAAGAAAGAATTTTTTCCCAATATTTTATCTAAACCTGCTCTCTTTCAGTTTGAAGCCATTCCCCCTTATCCTGTCACTATAAACTCTTGTAAAAAGTCGCTGTCCATTGTTCTTGTAGGGTCCCTTCAGGTACTGGAAGGCCACACTGAGGTCACCCCCTATCCTTCTCTTCTCCAGGCTGAACAATCCCAATTCTCTCAGCATTTTTTCACAAGTCAGGTGCTCCATCCCTTTGACCATCTCGGTTGCCTCCTCTGGATTCCATCAACAGGTCCATGTCCTTGCTGTGCTGAGAACCCCAGAGCTGGACAGCATTGCAGGAGGGGTCTCACCAGTGGGGAGCAGAGAGGCAGAATCCCCTTCCTTGGCCTCCTGCCCAGGCTCCTTTTGATGTAGCCCAGGACACATTTGGCTTTCTGAGCTGCCAGTGCACATTGCTGGGTCATGTCCAGCTTTTCATCCACCAGCACCCTCAAGTCCTCGGCAGGGCTCCTCTGGTCTGTTCATTGCCCAGCCTGAACTGATAGCAGGGGTTGCCCAGATGCAACACCTTGTACTTGGTCTTACTATTTCAGACAAGTACATTGATAGTTACCTACATATTTGAAGTAAATCACAATCATTCATCAGATTTGAAGTACATCAAAACCATTCATGCCATACATACCGGAGTGTAATAGCCCGAGCAACAGGATCATTGCTATGGATTACTGAGAAAACTCTCTTGACAAATTCATCCACATTCAGGATCTTCTCTAAGTGCTTCTCACTCTGCTGAGTAACTTTCAGTACACACAGCCTCAGGAAGTTGTTCCTGTTGGAAAATATACACATTTCTTTGTCAGGCTATTTTGTAACAAACATTCAAGCACTTTAAATACTAAGTAACTTAATTACAAATTTAGGGAGCAAATTAAAACAAGGAAATGTCTATGCTTTAGAAACATTTTAGTAGACTGATACAGTAGAAAAGAGGCTATTAATATACTGTTGTTTTATTTTCTAGTTCAGCTAGTGTCAAATTAAAGCCCAATTCCCGGGAAATGAACCTGTTGACACCAGTGAGGAGGGGTGTAAGCAAATGCCTGTTTTGTGCACACACACAGGGATCCAAATCTGCTGGAAAAACACATCCAAGACTAAGACAGAGAAGTCTAATTACCACTTTAAAGTACTGAGAAAATTTATATTCCTTTCTGAAGACAAGAGCAAAGATTCCACGACATCAACATACATTTTTGTAAGCTTTTACAAAGCAGCTTTGATTCCATTATATACATCACTTGGACAGCAGGCACTTGGAAAAGCTGTACTTTGAGCTTTGTTCCAAAAGCTTTGAGCTTTTATATCTGCACATGTGATCATTCATCCATTTATGAGCTACGATTTGGATGTGCTTATGGAGCAAAACTTACACCACTGAAATGAAACCAGTCAGGGAGAGAATCCTCAAATCAGGACAGATGCAAAGGAACTCTGTCCTTATCACTCATAGCCACTTAAGCCCACTACAGAAGTGGAAAACAAGTTTCAGTCAAGCACAGCCGCGACCGGCTGGGTAGCACAGCGGTGCTGCCAGGCAGGCACGACACGCCAGACTCCAGCGCAGGGACACTCCGAGGCACAGTGAGTTCTCACGGATCAGGCTTGAATGGCTAGGGCCAGACCGACAGTACTCACCCCACTCGGAAAACATCGGCTAGCTTTAGGAATGCCGAGTTGATGAGAATGGGGAACGGGTATTTCTGGAAGAGCCTCGGAAAACGAACGACGGCTTCGCACTGCTCCCCGAGCTTGCCAGACCTGAGGCCTAAAGGAGACAGCAGGAATTACCGCAGGTACCTCCAGCCCCGGGTGCTCCCTCCGCCCCCCGCCGTGGACAAAGCCGTACCAAGCAAAGCCCCCACCCCGGCCCCGCTGTCCAGACCGGCGACAGCGCCGATCCCGCGCGGGCTCACCTTTATCCAGCTCCATGAGGGCGGAGTTGGCGTCGAGCTCCTGCTCGCCATAGCCCGCGTCGGCCAGAAAGGACTTGGCGCTGGCCGCCATTGCTGCCGCTCACGCCGGCCCTGCGCAGGCGCAGCCGCGCCTCTGACCCCGCCCTCCTGGCGCGGCCGCGGGAACCGGCGGCGGGCGCGGCCTGGAGGCCCCGCCCCCAGCACCGCCCAATGAGAGGAGGCGGGAGCTGCGCGGCGCGCTCGCCGCTGACCAATGAGGGCGCGGGTTGCGCTTGGCGGGCCGGTCGTTTGGCGGGAGCTGGCGCGGCGCGCGCCGGTCGTGTCCCCTTGGCCATGCTGTGCCGCGCGCTGCTCCGCCGCGCCGCCGAGCCCGCCGGTGGGTACCGAGCCTTTCCCCACAGCCCCCCCGTCTCGACCCATCCCCGGCCGCCTGCACCGCCGCGGCGGCCGCCTCGCGGCTCCTGGTGCCCGAGCCTGTGGTGCCGGAGGCGTTTACGGTCCGTCTGTCCCCTTGTAGGTCGGTCCTCAGCGCTTCCCCTGCAGCATCTCCTGGAGAGCTACCAGTGCAGCCAAGAAGATGGCCACCTGTCTTGCGGGGAAACGGGAATGCCTGTCCCTCCTTTCGGCTGCACCTTTTCTACAGGTAAAGTCACCTCCTGAAAGGCCTTTTGTGGGCGCAGGGTATGTGCTCTGTCGTCAGCAGTTTCTTATTTTAAAGTGAGCTGGTAACAGTGTGCTTGCTCCTACACGTGATAAGCACTGGATCTTGGTGCACCCAGATATACCGGTGGAAAGTACTCAAAGAAGCAACTGCAAAGAACTTACTTTAATGCCTCTTTGTTTCATCTGTGTCTGTTTCAAGGTATGTCTTCTTGGTGACAGTGTGAGGCTACATAGGTGAGAAACTGAGCTTTGTTCAAAATATATAATAGCTATCATAGGGTGAAAATTAGGTGGAAATCAGAGGTGGATGGATGTCACCAGGCAGTCACACACTGCCAGCATTTTCCCATGATGAGAGAAAGGATTAAGCAATTAAGCTCCTGCATCTTTTTCATTCATTGTACTCTAGTTTTGGCATGAGATTTTACATTTCTCTAAGGTGGCTTCCTGCTTTTCCAAGTCAGATTGTAGAAAATGCTGGAGGCTGTAGATAATAGGTACTCTAGATACAGAAAACGGTAACTAGAAAGCTATTATAGCTGGTGAAAGAGGCATTATCTCGAAAGTTGCTCCTGGAGCCATTTGATTGCCCGTGTATAGTCATTCCTGAACGGAACATCTAGAAAAAATGCTTGCCGATATTTCTGTGCTTTAACACTTATGTTGCCATATAAATGCTATTTATTTCACAGCTTTATGTTTTCTGCATTCCCTATTTAAAGCATCTGTGGCCCTTCACAAAAAGCATGGGCATTATTATGTTTTAGCTACCTAGCATAATACGTTTCAATTTCTTTCCAGCCCCAAATTTGGAGCACATCCTGGCAGTTGCAAATGAAGAAGGGTTTGTTAGACTGTACGATACTGAAGCACAGGGCACCAGCAAGCTCATCTTTAAAGGTAAATGTTGTATAGAAGGTGATCTTCATTTGATGTGACAAGTATGGGATTTGCTGGAATCCAAGAGAGCTTTTGGCAAGTCCTTAAAACGTAAATTCTAGGCAGTATTTTAGTCCTTCCACGTTCTTTGCTGAGTCTTCTTTACGAAGCAGCAGCATGAATGTGCTCTTAAAACAGCAGTAGCAGATGAATTGTTCTGTTGTCTTTCATGCCTGAGGCAAACTGTTGACAAGATTTCTGATTTGAGTGTCTGATGTCATTTAGTCTTCTGCAAAATACCATCCTGCAATGCACTGAACTAATCTTGGCTTTTGTTTTTTTGTTAGAATGGCAGGCTCACTCAAATGCTGTATTTGACCTTGCCTGGGTGCCAGGGGAACACAAGATTGTAAGCAGTCTTTTACCATCCAACTTTTTTTTTTTTCATGCTTTGGCGACTGTGTACAGAAAATGACTAAAGCTTTTTATTTTTCTTTCTGAAGGTCACTGCTTCAGGAGATCAGACAGCCAAGGTGTGGGATGTGAGAGCTGGTGAACTTCTTGGCATATGCAAAGGTCACCAGTGTAGCCTCAAGTCAGTTGCTTTTTCCAGATTTGAGAAAGGTAAATGTTGATATTCCCTGTTGTCTGTTTTTTTTCCTTCTTTCCCCCTGGCAAAGTACTTTAAGGGCTTAAAAAGGGCTTTGGAAACTGACAGGTAGAAATAGCACAGGACTGCACAGTGAACCAGCCAGGAAAGCAAAACTGTCTTGCTGGAACTTGATGGTGTCCTGATGCTAAAATCTGCATTTTTCTTATTTTGGGATAAGATAGGATGTCAGGTTCCATACCCAAGTGTGTGAAAATGCTTTCCATAAGCTGGTTTCTCTAGTGGGAGCAAGAAAAGAATAGTAAGAATAAGGGAACAAGTCAAAAAGCATGGCAAAACAATGGCCTGAATTTTGTGTTTCTAGGACTGGCATCCCAAGTGGTGGGAGAAGAGCCAGAGTTACCCAGATGGAATTGTACTGCATTCAGTTACTTAAGTGAATGCTTTTAGGAGCTAATAACACTTTTTTTTTTTTTTTTTTCTTTCAGCTGTTTTCTGTACTGGAGGGAGAGATGGAAACATCATGGTTTGGGATACCAGGTGCAACAAGAAAGGTAAATAAACTTTCAGATGTGTATCAAAAAAGCTTGGTATCTCATGAAAAAGGACTGCTCCAATGGACTTGTTGGACTGATACTTTTGATTACAATATAGGCAGCAGAGCATTCTCAGATAACTGTACTGCTTTAGGTACCTTAAGAGGATAGAATTGGTATCTGTGCTATGTATAATACATTTCTCCACTTTGCAGCAGTCTCAGATTTGCAGCATCAAGCCACAGGCTGGTTTGATAATTCCCTGTGTGAAGGTAAGGAGATGAGGTTGTATAGAATGCATCCCTGTTAGGGCACCGCACAAGCCGATGAGGTGGGAGAAATTGTTTAGTTCAGAGCCATCCAGAGGGGTGAAGAAAAGTTGGAAAGGCTCCTGCCAGCATAGGAAGGAAGGCAGAAAGTGTAGAAAAAAGAGCTTGTGAGTGCTGGCAGCAACTGAATATATTGGGGGAAAACCTACTGTAAGTAAGGTATGAGCTCATTCTGCTCCTGCTTATTTCCTGGAGCTTTTCCTTCCCCAGCCCCTTCCTCTCATGCCTTTTCCCAGTTCCCTGCTCTGCCACAACTGTTTCTTTGCCTGAACATGTCTTGCTTTTCCATCTGTTCCAGGTTCCCTGGTTTTTCAAACAGGCAAATGAAGGAAAAGACTGACTCCACATGACTGAAGTGGAAGGTGTAGGAAAAAAAAAGTAGAAAAGTTGCATTACTCTAGTAAGGCAGCATATTTCATAAACTAACAGACAAAAGGCTAAACAGAAAATTATAGGGTGGAAAAGCACTGGAAATCTTCCAGTGAGCACCGTTCTGCATGGGATGAGGTGGATTGAGCACTCCAGACCAGGATGCATGTGAAAAACAGTCCAAGGGGTAACGATTTCCAAAGGCAGAGCCAAATTGCCTAGATCAGTTTTAGTTTTGTTGTCCATGCTTCACTGACCTTTGTAGTTTTTTTGCACTGTGCTCTTCTCACTGGTTTTGTACATAAGTAATTTTTGTTTTCAGAATATAGTAATGATTTTAAAGGCCAGCCTAAGCCACCTTTTAGGACTAATTCCAAGCTGATACCTGTTTTATTAAAGCGATAGCAAAATTGCATGTAAACTACTACTTGAGATGCCTTTGATTTCTTTCAGATGGCTTTTACAGGCAAGTGAATCAAATCAGTGGAGCACACAACATGGTTGACAAGCAGACTCCTTCCAAACTGAAGAAGAAGAGGCAGAGCCTGAGAGGACTTGCTCCCTCGGTGGTGGGTATCTGGGCAACAAACAAAATGTCTCTGCTGGGGACATTGTTACTCACAGAATCCTTTCTGTGTAAATATGATGAAAAATATGTGGCTTGTATGTGGTAAATGCTTCCATTTATTTTTGCAGAGATAGGGGTTTTTGTCATGGTCAATTGCTATGGCTAATTTTAGACATTGTTTTGTTGTCTAACAGCCTATTTCCCATAAAAGCCAACTTTAGGCAAATGCTATCTGAAAACACATTTTTTTTGGTTTTGTTTGGGTTTTGTTGTTGTTGGGTTTTTTGTGGGTTTGTTTGTTTGTTTTGTTGTTTTTTTGTTTGGTTGGCTGGGGGTTTTTTGTTTGGTTTTGGTTCTTTTTCCCCAGAGAGGAACGGAGTGGCCCAGCATTACCTTTTTGAGGGGGACATATGGAGAGTTGTAACTTTTTTACCCCCCTAATTTGACCAGACAACTTACTGCCTTAGTGGTGTAAGACCTAATAATTTTTAATCTATTAAACCTTGTGATGAAGGTAGCTCTCTTATCTGTGACCTGAAAGGTGTTATCTCAAACTGCTGCCCTAACACTTACCTCTCAGTGGTAATTTCACTGGTAGGAGTGTTCAAAGGATTGTTGTATCCTAAATGACATCTGCTGTTTCTAGGCTCTCGTGCCTGGTTAGGAGGACGTTTTCCCTGCATTCACATGGCCTTGAACTAAGCAGCAATATCTTGCTGAGCTTAAAAGAAAATAAAGTTCTTTTTTCTTCTCTTTTTAAGGATTTCCAGCAGAGTGTAACTGTGGTGCTGCTTCAGGATGAGCATACTCTAATCTCTGCAGGAGCTGTTGATGGGTAAGGAGGGAGGATGCCTGCTTTCCTGTCTATTCTGTGTGCTCAGAGGCATAAAAAGATTGGGAGATTTTCTCTCTAAGATCACTCAGTGGCCAGCAAGGCTAGAGCTACTGCTAGGTGAAATCAGCAGCTATGCTGCCAGCTTGCATTAGTTTTACTTCTTTACTGGAGATTGTAGTTCTGAACAAACTGTGATATGTGGTAAATGCTCATTTTAATGTCTTAGCTATGGGGCACAATGAGAGCAATTCTTCCCTCTCTCTCCCTTTATTCTCATGGACCTACGAGACCACACATAGACAGATTATTGTTAGACAGCCTTTTTGG